TTGCGGCAGGCCACCTGTCGCGGGTGGTGGAGGAGCTGGCCCCACTCGCACAGCAGCTGAGTGAATCGCTTCGTCTCGTCAACGAATGCGTCAAGCAGCTGCAGCAACAGGCGAAAGGTGTGCACGCATGCGTGCATGTGTTTAGATGTTCGTCTCGCAGCTACCAGCAACTTTTCAACCCACCTGTTTCCGCTCTCTCTACATCTCAATCTCTCTTCCATTCACCTGCCTGTCTGAATTGTTATCACACCACACGTTCACACTCGTATCCATGCTTCGTGCATGTTCACTCGTGTCCACAATACCATCCACGCCAGCGGGCGAGCTTCCAACACCGCGCCCACAGCCATCGTCGCAAGCTCAGCAAGCACCTCAGCCCACGCCACCCAAGCAACAGCAACAGCAACAGCCGCAGCAGCCTCAACAGCAACAACAACAGCAACAGCAGCAACAGCAGCCGCCACAGCGTCATGCGGAAGATTTTGACCCGCTGCGCTCGCAATCTTCCCAAGCCCCAATGCAGCAACGGCCGGGTCAGCCACAACAACAGCCACGCCCACAGCCGCCACAACAGCAGCCACCACAGCAACAGCAACCCCCTCGCTCCTCCATGCAGTCCGCACCGCCCTACTCGCAGTCGCAGCCGCCACAGTACGGCCAACCCCAGCCCCCACAACATCATCAGCAGCAGCAGCAGCAGATGCCACAGCAGGCATATGCCTATGCCCAGCCCATGCCACAAGGACAGCAGCCTCCCATGAGCCAGGTGGGCGTTGCTGCTTTTGAATTGTGTGTGTGTGTGTGTGTGTGTGTGTGTGTGTGTGTGTGTGTGTGTGTGTGTGTGTGTGTGTGTGTGTGTGTGTGTGTGTGTGTGTGTGTGTGTGTGTGTGTGTGCGTGTGCGCGTGTATGCGTAAAAGTGCTGTTTATGCTTGTATTGTCTTGCTTGTTTGCCTCGTTGCTTTTGTTGCGTTCCTCACAATATGCCCTATCCGCTCTCTCCGCTGTGACGACTGATTCTGCGCTCAGGCCACGTTCTCTGAGTTTTCCATGCCGCCGCGCTCGCAGCCATATGGGCCGTACAGCAACATGCCGCCAGGCACCGGCCGCCCTTGAAGCAGATGCGCGTGGACAACAGCAGCAGCGACTGCTGATTAAGTGCATCCTCCTCCCCGCAGACATAGTGCCTTCCCCTCCCCCAACAGACACGCACACACACACATACATGCACACAGATGCATACACATGCCACTGCTTTGCCGTTACGTTCAATGACACAAGCAACTATGGATTTGTAATGGCGGGTATCAACACAACAAACACGCATACACACGCATACACACTGCACGCATCTGTGCACGCAGTGCAAACAACAGCAGGTTGCGTAACGGCACCACAAAGCGGTGGAAATGAATGAACTCGAAAGAAGAATGCGCGTGGCGCTCAAAACATTACATCGTCATCATCGCCACACAAGTAACACGTCTTCAGCTAAACCCTACTACACACACACACACACACACACACGCACCATGGCGAATCACGCGTCGCATGCCAACGCAACAGAATAGGAGCAGAAGTGCTCATCGTGATAACAATGCCCCTTTGCAGTCAGTAAACATCATGACACATCACAACACAAAACACCATACATGTCACATGACTTGCACACATCACTGTCACATCACACCAACATCACGTCACGTCGCATCAGAAGTCTGTGACCATGACATTGTCGTTGTCCGAGTCGTGCTGGCCAACAACAGAGTCCAGCGCGTCCACATACAAGTTGCTCATCTTCTTGTGTCGCTTCTCATCGCCGTTGTCATCAGCGGCGCCGACACCAGTGCCTCCGCCATCACTGCAGCATCTACGAGTGTGTGCCCACCTCTGGCGCGGTCCAACGAACAGGAAGGGCGCCACCGCGCGAACGGTAATAGTCCTCATGCTCTTTCGACTCTCGCGTGAGACTGGCATGACATTAGCACGGCATATGGTGCGGTGTGAGCACGAATGGGAGGTGGTGTTTGTTGTGGTGGTGGTGCGCTGGGACAATTTCCACATCTTCAAAACAACACAATAACAGTCGCACCAGGTCACACACACACACACACACACACACACACACACACACACACACACACACACACACACACACACACACACACACACACACACACACACACACACGCCAATTCGCACCCAAAGTCGGCAATCTTTGCGGAAATGTCAGAGGAGATGAGGACGTTCCTGGCAGCGACATCACGGTGAATGAAACCTGTTGTTGGTTTTTGCAACACATTTGGGTTCAACATGAGCACAAACTGTGACATGGTACACACATCCCACGCGCATATGTTTCACGTCAGTATGTCGGTGTGTCACGGTGTGTCACGGTGTGTCACGGTGTGTCACAATGGTTCGCTCGTCAGACCTTTGGAGTGGATGTGGGCGAGACCAGAAGCGCAGTCTGCAATAAATTGGATCTTGCGGTGTGCGGGC